CACATTACGGGCATAATCAATCAATGAATAAATTCAGCAAATGAAAAACGCGTATGAGCAGCAGAAGAGGAGAATTACAACAAGTGACTGCATACATGAGCAGACAATGTGCAGTTATTCTTCACACTTATTTTCATTTTTATTTATTATTTTTAATTTTTAATTTTTTATTTTTAATTTTTATTTTTATTTTTTATTGCAAATGTGCTTGCACTTAGTAGAGTCAACAGATGTGCGCCTGTGTATCTCCATTTGCTTACTAATTCAACATTTTTTTTCAATGCATTCAGTCATTTCATGCCATAAATTGCAAACGGGTCAACTGTGACCCTACACAAAAATAAAATGAAAGGCGTAAGAGTAAAAAAAAAAAATCTAAAAAAAGATGATGGGAAATGCATTTGAGAGCGAAAGTGTGTAGTTGTTACTCTGTATGAATGTCTATTTATATTGCACTGCAACAGGAACTTTTATGAATTGAATGACTTTATCAATGGACGTTGTTGACTGACTTGACTGACTGTCCGACGACAACGACGATGATTGCATGCAAAAACTAGGTGCGTCCGGCGGAGAAATAATGCATTAAATAGATTAGATATTGCTTTCGTTGTTGTTGCTGGAGCTTGTGATGACTATGATGATGATGATGGTGATGATGTTGAACGCAGGCCGGAAAACCGGAAATGTAAAGGGTTTAAATGTATTTGGATTTCTCGTTTGCAAAAGTTGTTGTAAATCAGGTTTTTGTTGCTTTCACTATTGCAGATACTCGACGGAAGGTGGCCACAATGTACATTAGGGCGGGAAATAGCACAGGAGCATTGAATTATAGGTGTAATTCTAAGCAAATTTTCCGAAGAAATAATGTGTCTAAAATCAATCTAGAGATTGCCAAATTGTGAAAATATTTTTCGAGGAAAATGTGAAAAATATTTTTCGAGGAAAATGTGAAAAATTTCGCTCTGGCGCTTAAGCTTAATTTTGGATTGTTATTTTAATGCCATTTAACTTCCGTTGGGATTCAGATCAGCTTTATTTAAATATGCCAAACTGGTGGCAACACTGTTGCTTGCCCATTGAAATGTTGCATCATTTTGTACTGAACAGCTGATTGGTCTTTGGCAATATTGATAAAACTACCTATTTCTAACTTTTGGTTGTTTGGTACAAACACAGGGTTGCATATCTCATATTTAAAAAAAGACAGCCAGTGTTGCCGTTGAGAATTTTCAGAAAGTCACAAAAAAGGGGTAAATGACGAAAAAAAGGGTCACCATATTATTTTTGCTTTTCTTTACTAGTAAAAGAATAAATCTGAGAACCAAAGTGAAAATCAAATTTACATGTATTAAGTATAAAGTAAAATAGCAGGACTTGCTTTGCACAAAACAGATTTGCAAACATAAACCGAAATCGATTTGCATTTCCTTTAAAAGTTTTAAGTGATGCATTTTTTGGTACTTACAGTAGGAGTTTTTTTTTTTTAATAGCATGGTTCTGTTTCCTTTAAAAGTCTCTGAAAAGGGGCAAAAGTCGCACATATTTTTGGAAAAGGGTCAAAAAATCAAAATTTTCAAAAGGTGGGTCAAAGGGTATTGATTTGCTTAAAAAGGGTCAAATAGCCCCTTTAGTCGCACAACGGCAACACTGTAGCCAATATTGGCCATTTAAGTGCAGCTTAAATGTATGATCTGAAAATGAATTGTTGAAGTTAATCAACAATCTACTTAAGTAGGCCATCTGAAATTGGGCCTTTAAAATTTAATACTTTTCTCTAACTAATATTTTAATTTAAAACTAATTATTTTTCATTTCTATCACTTGCAGATCACCACATCCACTGCCAAGAAGCTATGGGAGAAATCCGATGGCAAAGGTACCACTTCGGGTGGCGTAACCGGTGGTCCTTTAAATCCACTACACATACCCGGCGTAGGCGATCATCCAGTTTGGAAAGACTCTACATGGTCAACACAAGGCGAAAATATACTGGCACCGCCACGCCCGCGTACTTTTCCACAAGCTCCAGATACGAATACGAGCACCAATGCCGGCATTTTGAGGTGAGTAAAGCTATTTTTGATAACAAGTATACGTAAAAGTTAAACGGATTTTTTAAACGACATTTTTTAGGAGTAAACAAGTTTTTTTGGAGTAAACGAGATTTTTTTTTGGAGTAAACGAGATTTTTCAGAGTAAAACGAGTTTTTTTCTGAGTGAAACAAGATTTTTTCGGAGTAAAACGAGATTTTCGGGAGTAAAACGAGATTTTTTCGAAGTGAAACGAAATTTTTTCTGAGTATTATATTTTTTTTTCTGGACATATGGACAACAAGATGCGGAATATAACATGACTTTGTGTGCTTAGCGGATTTTTTTCGGAGTGAAATGGATAATAAAACGGTAATTTCCAGGCTTGGCGGGATTTTTCGGAGTATAAAGATATTTTTCGGAGTAGATATTCCAGAATTGTTAGGTTTTTTCAATATTTTTCAGATTTTCTTTTTTTGGGATGTAGTTTTTGTATCGCTCCGGGACTTTTTGGGACTTTATAGACTCCTCCCGGATTTTTTTGCGTTTTATTCGGTACTTTTCAGTAATATTTATATTAAAAAGTAATCTATAAAAAAATTATTAAGGTACGCATGAAAAAATCGTTTTCTTCTGCTCGAAATGGTTTGTTTGTGTCCTAAACTCGTCACTTATTATGGCCTCAGTTTAAGTCAGTGAAATAATATCCTTTTATTCTCTCTCTTTTGCAGCCCACGTGATGCCACCAGCGGTTTGGGTGTTAAAATGGTCGAATATGTGTTGGGCGGCTCACCGACTAACAAGGAGAGTCCACTCTCCAGCCTGGAGCCACGTTTGCGAAGTCTGAAATTCGATGACAATGATAAGGTAAGCTTGCCAAAAAACCGAATTGTTGACAGATATAGTATGTAGTAAGTTAAATTTAGGGTGCGTTGTTAAGCTGACCCTCTTATATTTGAATATATATGTACTTTTCTATACTTTTATGCGAAATAATTCTATATTTCCTTGCCTAAGGCGCACATAACATCTGTTCCTTGTGTGCTACATAATACAGCGTGGTTGCAGTTTCGTTTAAGGCACACATGCAACCATACTACTTATGTATATACACATGGATGTATGTATGTATGTAGGATGACATTTGTATGCGTTTAAATTACTACAAATATGTGCCTAACTACATTTGGGTCCCTCTACTACAGCTTATCTTCCTTACGAATGCACTGCTGCCCTATCGATTGCCCTCGGGTTGCATATGTACTTGAAATGCATTTATTACAATTGTCTCGGCGTTTTCTTCGCATTTCGGTTTACAGTTTCGGAAATTATTGTGTATGTATGTACATATACAGGGTTACTGGGAAATTTAATACTTAACCCTTCGGCTATATGTGTTTTGGTCTGACGAGCAATAAACTCATTTTAATCCTTAGTTATTGAGGTCTCTACGTATTCCTTCAGGCTAAAACAACGGGAGATCCAGGAAGTGTGCCGTTCCAAATGGGTTTGTCCAGAAGGAGAGGAGCGTTAGTTGAGTGGGCTTAAGGAGGCATGGGAAGAGGTGTTGCGAGTCGTGTAGTGACTCTCTGCATGCCGCGCACTCATTGGGCTTATCTGCATTTATCCTACGCAGGTGGGAGTCTCGCGAGGCAGATGAAGCTTTGCCTCGTCCACATCAGGTGCCTATGTTCCCAATCCCTGTGAATGCCGTTTATGACCTGTCGGTACGCTATCGGGTCCAGAGGTTGTTTTATGAACCTCTGGACTTCGTCCGTTAGTTAGTATAGATACCGTCTGGCGTGCCTATTCGAGGGCTCTGAGCAGTGATCGGACTTCTACCACATTGTGGTAGAACTACCACTTTTTTGAGCATCTACCACTTTTATCACACAAGGTCTGAAGTCTACCACATATTCGCGTTTTGGGGTAGTTTAATTTTTGCTCGACCTTATTTTTTTTGTTTTTTATTTTGGGAGCAAAAATTGTCCAACACTAAACATAATATGATAACAAGAATGAGAGAATTCAAGATTTCGCGTTCCGGGTGGCGATGGGATTTAAACATTTTAACAGGTTTAAAAGTAAACAAAGCCGAATGGAAGGTTAAAATAAAAATAAACTATCAACTATCTTTCTGCCTATAAAGCATAGTGGTGCGCGTCCTGACGGGGAGCATCTTAACCGCGTCATGTAGGTGGTGCTTTGGCGACATCTGAAGACATATTTTGGCATGTCTATAGCTTCGTCCACTGCGTCCTGGGCATAACGTAACTTTGAAACGATTGTCGTTCAAACGATACTGACAAAACGACGTCGTGAAAACACTGATTTATGCATTTGTGTTGCTGTTACCTGTTACTGTTACTGTTACGTGAAACAAAACTAAAATCGTGTTGACGATATCGCACAATCGATCAACCAATTTTTGGTTTTCATGAAGCAAGACAATCTCGCCATGATATCGTTCAGACGATTGTCGTCATAGGTGATTCATGCCCTGCTAGTGCCCGGTGACCACACGGGCGCTGCATTGTTTAGATGTGTAACACATGTTGCGTGAATGTGAATCCCAAATAGGAGATTTGCATTTCATACGACAACCAGCCGATTTGAGGCAGACGGGGCCTATGAATACAAATTTTCTTGGAATGCTACTGAAGGAGATGGAAGCAATCTAAGAAGAAAAAGTATTTATTAGGTATGTATTAGGTTTCTTTAGCTTGGTCGCACATTCCTATAACACAAAAGCTATTTTTTTACACCGGAACGAGTCGTAACACTATCGTCCTATACTATAATGGTAACCTCTCATGGAAATTATTAAAGTCATGACACAGTTTTCCGAAAAATTTTTAGTGAAATTTTTAAAAATGGTCTGTCAGACTACAACGCAAGTTAAGCACGTCAGTGTTGCCAGAACTTTTTGGACGAACCGGCTAAATTGGCAAATAAAACCGGCTAAAAAGTTTCAACTAAATTTCTCATGTTTTATTTAAATAAATCACGAGTAAAAAGACTATTTCTTGGAGAGAAGTTACAAATTCGAGCCGGAAAAAATTTTGCCAGCAAGAATTTGTAATTAGGAAAAACATATGATTGTGGCACATGGTTGGATTTTTTGTCGACGATAATTTGAATAAACCAGTTCGTTAAATTTAAAAATTTACAAACGAGCGATTTTAAAATGAAAAATGTTAGTTAATACTTGTTTACTTAATTAATTTAGTTAATTCCAATGATTTGAAAGGTATCTGATATTTTGGGTGATAATTGTCTTCCCTACAATACAAGGCCTTTTCATACTGACCGGTTCTCAATACACTCAGATAGAAACCAATACACATAAAAAACGCTGTAAAAATTTCCCTTCAATTTTAAGGCAGTAAAACAACGACCTTAAGTTAACATCAACCGAGGCCATATGTTGACAAGGGATGCAAAATCACAGTTACACAAAAGAACTGGTCAGATTTTTTCAGAAATCCCTTCAATTCTGATGTAAAATATGATGCCAAAAGACTGCAGATCTCCCATTTAGATGACCGGTCATATGACCGGCAGATGTGTCGTAGGATTCCCAGAGACTTTTGCTTTACATAGAAATTTGTGCTCTTTTATTTTCATTTTGACTCACTTCAGTGTTGGTTCCTTTAATTCAAGTTGGCATTCGGGTTTTGGAATTTAAATAAGTTCTCAGCAAAAAAGTTTGATTAAAAAAATACATATGGGTACATAGTGCTCGAAAATATCAATTTTTCCCTTACCTTAAACATTTGGGAGTGACCAAAAATGATGTTTTGTAATTTAGGCAGAATTGAATATGCGCTATCTGGGAAGACAATATCTACATGTAATATTTATTCTGTTTGTTGGCACTATATCCAAACACAAACGAATCTTAATGCTTGAAACACAATACCCGGCGAACGGCAAATTTCGCCCAGCAGAGCGATGCCGATGACCAACTTTCGCCCAGCTAATTCGCTTACTGAAACACAAATAGAGCGGTATTCAAGAAGGAAGCTTTGACAACGAAGAGGGAAAATACCAGCAAGAAGAAGTTTAAAATATAGAAATAGTCTTTAAATATAACTACTAGTAAACTTACGTTTTACTAGATTAATCTCTGATAGAAAAATATAAGGTATATTATCTTACTTTTAAACAAAAATTACGATAACTTTTAAAGTATGGTCATCATGGCCTTTTTTTGTCGTTGCCGCTGACCGCGGCGATAGAAATAAATCTATCGTCACGAACAGTCGTCGAGCAAACTTCGCCGTTTGCTTTTGTTGTGCTCGTTCTCATATAAATCAGTGTGTTTTAATTATCTCGGCGAACATTCGCGACGAAAAACGCCGGTGTTGTGCTTAATGCTTAAGTCTCTTAACAGTGAAACAATTTCTTATTTTCTTTCTTATTTATTTCTTTGCGAATACAACTTCAGACTTAAAATTAAGACATTTATAAAAAACATTTTATGAAGCAAATCCCTTCTTCATTTAAAATAAAAATAAGCGAAATAGGCCCAATTTCATACAACCCTGCCTGACATGAAAACGACTAAAATGGCAACACTCTTTGGGATATAAAACTGCATACTTAAAAATTTTTCTCCAAATTCTGAATCGAAAGTTGTATACAAATTTATTGAATTTTCATGAACTTTGCACAAAGTTCAGAGATTTTATTTTTATGTTTTTTTGGTGTAGTATGAACTATATTTGTATAAAAATTTTCGAAATAAAATTAGAATAAAAACTGCATATATTGCGAAAAATTCTCGTGCCAACACTTTTGTTCGTTGCTGTAAGTAATTTTTGTTGTTTGTAAATCAAAAGGAAAATTATCTTCATTCAAACTTTTCTCCTGTGTAAACAGTTTATTTTTTAATAAATTATAATAGTTTAAAAAATTATTTAAAAGAAAAATATTCTACACCCTGTATGTATGTAAATAAAGCCTGTGGGCGACGTTTACGCTTTTTCTGAGATCAAAGATTTTTCTTGTACATATTTGCTTTTCACTTACGTTAGAACGCCTTCTCAAGTACGAGTACATGCAGCTTGCTCGTACCTACCTCCTTCTTCGCTCGATGCTTCCCTGGTCTCTATTACCATTTACGTAGTTTTAAGTTCCCATTTTGCAAGTTTTTCACACCTCAATCCTTAGTTTTGTGTGCTTTTCAATTGCGTTCACTTAGATTTTTGTTGCTCTGCGCTCGTACAGATGTATGTCAATATGTATATCCGTAGTTGCCTCAAGGCGGCCAAGACAACATCGACTTGGGTGGAAGAAGCAGTTATTTCGGTTTATTAATTCTATTATCCATTTGAAAGGAAGTTAGTAAATTGACTAAGAAATACATGAATACATACATATATCGTCGTCTAAAGTACAAAACCGCGTATGTGAGGTTGCATAAATTATTTTCTAGAGAGTAAAAACGCTCATATTTCAAACTGGTTCTGTTTTTTATAAAGCAATCGCATATCTGGCTAGTATATTTCAGGACGAATGGACAAGGATTGAGCCAAGAGCTTGTGTGGGGAAATCCAATTTTTGGCAGCAAATATCAGTTACGCGGTTTTGTACTTAAAACGACAATATATGAATGTGATAGTTATTTAAAGCAGTTTAACACTTTCTTTGTCTGAAGACCATTCTCTCCTGTTTGTTTGTGAATTTATTGCTTTCGAAAGATGTTTGATAGTTGCTTTTATAACCTTAAGAAACAAAAGCTAATCGATTACACTCGGACATTTTATTGTGCACTTTCAAAAGTTATGTGTATTGGAATTTAACACCGGGACTTTTATAGTTTGATATTTTCCCATTTAATTGCATTCCATAATTCCACGATA